GTTACTTTATACGACTCGCGTACGTAATCACTACGTCGCGACGGACCGTCGGCTAGGTTTCGCTTACCTACCTAGTAGGTAATAGTAAAATCGAAAGCCGCTAGGAATATTGCCTAACGGGCCTATCGACCTATAAGCTTCTTTACGCCTATAAAGCCTCTTAAATTAGTATAGTCGACGAGTACCTTAACCGTATACTAGGCGCCTTCGTAGTATAGCCGCTAAGCTTTAAATAATTCGACTACCGCTAATAATTCCGAGTCGTATATCTCGTAATTATATTCTATAGGGATTATCTTATAGGAGTAGAAAGCGATAGGGTACTATTTAGAGCCGAAGAGTTAGCTTAGAATACCTACGATAGTAAACGCCGAGGCGTCGCTTTCGATATATAGCCGTAACGCTAGGTCAAAATGCCTTAATAGGGGTGCTTACTAGAAACGCCGCTTAATCTCTTAAAATGTATACTCCTCGGCTACGCCCTACTAGACCGGTCCTAGCTTCCTACCTTTTATAGCTCCTTTTAATAGTACTGTTAAGGGTACTACGATCCTCGAGTACTCGAAGATAAATCTACGATAAAAATTCGCAAATCCTAGAAAGGACTATACCTCCGTTAAGGTAGTCGGTATTAGCTATACTCCGATTGTGTCTACTCTACGAGGGTCTATCTTTACGCTGCCGGAGGTTACGACGAACCCGAGGTAGTCTACCTCCTTTATAAAGAACTTGTACTTTATACGCTATATATAGAGTACGAATTTGTAGAGCCTCTTAAGCACTTCGCGTACGTCCTTTATATACTACTCGTATATCTTGCTATAGATAAGGATATCGTCGAGGTATACTATATAGGTAATATCTACTAATCCTACTAGAGCTCGGTTAATATATACCTAGAATATTACTAGAGCGTTAGTTAGACCGAAAGGTATAACCTTATACTAGAAGTAGCTATAGCGTATACGAAACGTAGTCTTCTAGCGGTCGCTTTCCTTAATCTTAATATAGTAGTAGGTATCGGCTAAGTCTAGGTACGTAAACTATTCGGCTCCTATAAGCCTGTCTAGCGTTTCGCCTATAAGGGATAGAAGGTACTAGTTTTTTACCGTAATTTCGTTTAGGCCGCGATAGTCTATATATAATTGTAGTAAGCTATCCTTCTTAGGTACGAATAGTACCGGCGCGCCTGCTTTACTTATACTAGTCTTAATCTAGTCGTATTCTAGTACGTTAGTAATATACTTATATAGGTACTTAAGTTCGGCGCTAGACTAGTAGTATAACGGTCGGAACGGTAGAACGGTACCTAGCTATAGGTCGATCGTATACTCTACGCCGTCTACTAGTTTGCTACGTTGTTCGTCTATAGGAAACAAGACGTCGTAGTAGTCCCGATATTCTATCGGCAACTCTATAAGCTCTAACTCTATATCTGTCCTACGTACTATTACTATATATACGTAGGACGAGTTCTTTAGATCCTTAAAGAAATTAGGTACCTCTCGGACCTTAACGTATAAGTACTCGCCGCTATAGCGCTATTCGTCGGTAGTACTATCTACTACTACTTGCTAGGTACGACGCTATAGCCGTCCTAGAATAAGGTTAGGTTCTAGCGTATCGTAGGCATAAAACAAGCCGCCTATCGTACGCTCGTTACCTATAGAGTCTACGAGGGTTATACGGATATAGTACGCCCTATAGTAGTAGCCTAACTAGCCGGTAAACGAACTCGCTAGCGGTAGGAGTATATTCCTATAGATTACGAGATTATATTTCAATACGAAACTGTATAATACTATATTAATATCTATAGCATCGTCGAGTAGTAACTATAGTATAGTAGTAGAGGTACGTCCCTTATACGTTTCGACCTATCCTTCGAGGATACGGGTATAGTATACCTAGATAGGCAAAGGTATATTGCCGTTAAGGTTAGTATCTAGAGATTGCGACTCTCCTCTAATACCTTCTCTTTTTTCGACGCTTGCTCTTTAGGTATAGTAACCCTATAAACCGTATTCGCCTTATCGTAGCTCGCTTAGTTAGGGTATATAGAGTTGGTCGCGATATATCCCTTCTTCTTATAGGAGTAATACTCTAGGTTCTTGTACCCTCGTACCGTCGACGTCGCTACGGTCGATAGAGTACGTCTATCGCGTAGAGCTCTACTCTTACTTCGATCCTATTAATCGTCGTAGCTTCGTAGTACGTTGCTCTCGGTACGCTTGCGTTTGCCCTACGCGCTATAGTTGCGCTAATAGGGCTCGTCCTTAGTATAGACTACTAGCGCGTTGTCTACTTGCTTAAGGTATCTTACTAGGTTTACGAGCTCGACTCGCGTATTAGGGATAGTATATCCCTTAACGATATCCCTATATAGCGACGGCTTTAACTTTGTAAGGAAGTAGCGTATTAGCTACGCTTATATATAGTTAAACTAGGCTTCTAGATAACTAAGCTACGCTATAAAATAATAGACGCTCTAGTCTAGGCCTTAATATACCCTCTTATACTCGATTATTATACCGATCTAATAGTTCGACTAATCGCCGACGGTATTGCGGAGCTATCCCTTAAACTCCTCCTAAGTATAATCCTCGGGGATTACGTTAGAATACTTATCGTACTATATCTTCTATACTTCGCCTACGAGCTATATAATACTATATAGGACCTTGTCTTAGTCGGTTCGATATTCTCGGAGAGCGCTAAGGAAGACGACCTCGAGATATCTAATAAAATTACGATACTCTTTGTTAGTATCTCCTTTAAAGGGCTTAGGCTCCTAAATCTTAGAGCCTCTATATAGAGAGTATAAGGTATACGATAGGTTCGCGGCCTGTCTACGTACGTCGTATAGATCTATTGTCCTAAGGTCTTCTTTAAGCCCGTTAAGAAGGTCGGGCTCGGCGTCGTCGTCGTCTATAGTAACTATAACGGTTAGAGTTAGTACTCGGCCCTAAATTTGCTCCTATAGACGTTAGTTTTCCCTCTCGAGGGCCTAAACTTCTAACTCTATATATAGACGCTAATTTACCTTCTCGAGCTATATATATCTAGTATACGGGTCGGCTACGTAGGCTTCCGGCTAGGTAGGAGCCTCCTCGAAAGGAGTCTCCCCTAGGTTCCCGTCTGCCTAGGTACTTATAGAGCCCGATACTATTTCCTCGGAAGGTTAGGCATCTTCGTCTACTTCGCCGATAACGCGGCCTGCCTACGCTATAGCTACGGTACGGTCGCGTTACTATTGTAGGGCTATAGGACCTCTATAGATTACTACTCTTTAGAAGGATAGAAGAATTAGAAATATAAGAGTAGGGATATATAGTAATATATAGAGCGTCCTTCCTACTACGTAGGAAAAGGAACAAACTAATTCTTGTCCTTCGGAAAGGAGAGAGCGGCGTCGTATAATATACCCCTATACTAAGCATACGTAGGCGCTACGCTACGTAGGCGGTCGTCCGATAGCCGATCGCCTAACGACTCGGATTGTACTACTTCTATAGCCTGCCCTGCTTTAGGCCGGCGTACCTTAGGCTTAAATACCTAACCGCCCTCTAGGGCTATATACCTCTAGGCCTAGCTGTTATATTAGGAAAAGAGGCAATATTAGTTTCTATAGCGTATTGCTTATAGCTATAGCTATTCTAGAGGTCGGCTACTTCTTAGATTAGTAGTAGACATTCCTTTTCTGTCTATAGGTAGGCGATATCTTTCTAAAGGACGTTTAGCTCCTTACGTTCGATAGTAATTTCTAGCTCGGAATCGTCTACGTCTTCTAGCTAGATACTAGTAATAGCTTCTATAGGTACCTTCTAGTCGAGTAGTTTCTATTAAACGTATTCCGCTTCGACTTCTATAGAGGAAGACTATTTATTAGAGGCCTATTCTAGTATAGAGAGGTTCTCTAGCGAGTTGCTAGAATTCTATCTAGTAGAACGTCCTCCTACTATTATTTGGACCTTTCCCTTATAGTTAAGGTCCGAGAGTTATTATATAATAGCTCTATAAGCGTAAGGGTATATATAATAGAGGTCCGAGGTATAAAAGATATAAATAATATATAGCTTACTATCTAAAGTATAATAACTCTACCCTTCCTTTCTAGAGGAGAGCTCTTACTATATATATAAGCTATTCTATTATCTACTTCCTACTACTAGTACTATCTCCTCTTTAGATAGTAGCTAATAACCGGTTCTCTTAGGAACCCTCTTAATTTAGAACGTTCTCGATCGGTAGAGTATCTCTTCTATACTACTAATAGGCTAGCCTATAGGATATATTAGAGTTTATTAAGAAAGGCTACTCTTTTCCTACTATAAAGGCAGAGGTTTTTTAAGAGGATCCTAGGAATTGATTTGTAATAATTAGAGATATTATAGCGTTTTGTTATAACCGACTATTAGTTAAGTAGAAGTATTAGTAACTAGGTTAAGGACAAGAGTATAACTAATATTACTTAAGTATAAAGATATAAGGTACAGGTAGGTACATTAGATACTAAATAAATTTATAGCTTATAATCTTTAATACTTAATACTACCTACCTATCTACCTACCTATCTACCTATCTACCTATCTCTATAGGCTACCTTATCTAAATTTTAGAAGAGAAGGATAAGAAGAAGAGAAGTCTAAGGACAAGGGGGAGGAGAAGGAGATAGAGATGTCTAGGAAGTAGGAAGAGGAAGTCCGGAAAGAAGAAGCCTAGTAGAAAGAAGAGAATATCCGGAGGCAAGAAGAAGAGAATACCCGGTAGGAAGAAGAAGACAAAGAGAATATCCGGAAGGAAGAAGAAGAGAATACCTAGGAGGAAGAAGACGCCCGAGAAGAAGAATACCTATACGTATATCAGGTAGGCATACATACTCCTAACTATAGCGCCCGCGCGAAATTTGAGATTAGTACGCATTCCGTACTACCAACGAGCAGGCCTGTAGGACAGATTGTTGTTTCAAGAGTTACTTCCTTACTCTATTCTACTCTACTCTGTACCTAACATTTTTTTCAACAAGTCTCTTTTTCTCCCTAGAGATCTCTCCTCTCTCTCTCTCTCCCTCTCCCTCCGGAAATCTCCTCTATACATCCTGCCTCCACGACCCCCTCTCCAATTCCCACTCCAACATCCACGCCATTACAGTCTCTACCAACCACTTTTGCACATCTACAATTCTCTTTGGCGGCAGCGTTCCTTCTACCGTCTCATTCTGAAATACCCCGTTTTCATCCCAATGATGCACTGCCTCGGAAATCAAAATGAACGGTTCGGAAACTGTGCTGCTGCGATTGCGAGCTCCCCAGTCAAAGGCGTGCGGTGTAGCGGGTTTCCAGGGGTCCCATTCGCCGTCGACGATGGCGAGGCGCGGGTAGGAGATTTCGTATCCGCCGTATTTGTTTACGGCTTGGAGGTTGGGGCGCGAGGTAACGTTGAAGGCGAGTCGGCAGACGAGACTGGTGTAGGCGAGGTCGGCGGTGCGGGAGACGAGGGGGAGGCCGTATTCGGGGGGAGTGTTGCCGGTTTGGAAGAACTATGATATGTTTGATTAGTACTCTTGTTTTGTATGGGCATGTTTCTGCGTTTTGAGGTGTGCTTTCTTTTTGCCCCATTAGGGAATGATATGAGGGGAACTTACACCCCATTCGGTACAGTATTGGTATGGCCAGGACTTCCAAGCGGCTTCTTCGATGCTCGTGAGAGAGTTATGGGTGGCGTCACGCGCATTGCCGAAGTATTGGTCCTGGGTTTTGTCGGATGAGACTTGTTTGGATACTTGTGTGAGGTTGGTATAGCCGATTACGTTGAGGATGGAATTGACGTTGACGACTGCTTCGCTATCAGACTCTTCAATAAGCTTCTCCACTGCTGATCTCTTGCTCTCGGTTCCCGGATAGAGAATGTCGGCGGAGGTGATGTTGCTGCAGTAGCTGTAGAACTTGTGACTACTGACAGCAGGATCCCAATTGAGACTTTGCCAGCCCGCAATAGGATTGACCGTGATGGCGGTAGCGAAATCGTCGTCATAGGTGACATTTTGCATATCGAAGACGGTCTTGAGCTCAGTGGACAGATGCTTCTTGCCAATGAGGATGCCATCCAAGAAGCTGACCAATGCTCGATGAGAGGCGACGCAGTCTGGAGGCGCGTACTCAGCAATCGCCTGATAGTATTGCCAATAGTCGTCAATGGCTTTCGTGACTCCCGAGCTGGAAATGGCACCCCAAAAGATGTCAGGATATTGCACGCGTAAGAAGGCATTGAAGGCGCCTGCATATGAGCCGCCATAGCCGATGTAGGGCGTCGTCTTTGCGGTCAAGTCGCCATGCTCCTCTAAACCAGGAAATTGAATGTTCGCGGCAAAGTAAGCTTCATCAGCCATTGCTTGTTCAGTGGTCAGAAATCTGAAGTTTTCGGTCGACAAATCCGGGACGGGATAGGAAGTGCCATAGTAGCGATGCTCGAGCACGACAGCGATTCCACCTGTGGCCTCTGCCATCTGTGCTAAGAGACCTTTTTGCAGAAATGGAAGTCTGGCTTTGCCACTCGTCTCGCCGGATTGCAAGATGATAACGGGACCTCCAGCTTTGTAGTGAGAAGCATCAAACCAGTATCGCAGATTAAAAGTGTCATTACAGTGTGGTTCGTACTTGGTCTCATTGTGAAAGTGGTCAACAGGTACGGAGAAGTTATGCGCCGGGTACAGTAAAGACAGATCAGTGTCGTCCCGTTTGGACAAAGGAGAAGGCTAGAAGGCAGGTAGAAATGTGGTCAATTCTGAGTCTGGTCTGTCTGGACGCGTGAAACTTACTTGATGCTCGATGTGGTCAATCAAGCTCACGCCCATGCGAACATCAATAGCATTGGTACAAGACGCGGTGAGGGCTGCCAGCGACAGCAGACGAGATAGAGGCGCCATTAGAAGGGAAATGAGGGTGAAAAGCAGGAATTGCAGCAGCCGAGGTTGGACTTGTATTGCAGCAGCGAGATCATTATGCGTATGCGGATTAATGCTGTATGTTCAGTAGTAGGACAGATGAGGAAGGTGAGTAGGTAGGATGGGGAGTATGTAGATCGGAGGATGTAACATGATGCAACATGTCTGTCCTACCTCCTACCACCTCACGTGAAGACCAACACTGTACATACTACAATGTAACTACAGTAGTCTGTTGATGACAACCAAGACGGGAAGAGGGAACCAATACTGTTGGACATCTATTCGCGTCGAAAAAAGAAATTCGTATTCATGGATAATGTCCTTAATCAAAGTACACCCCTCGTTCCCTCGTCAAGGTTCTGCCATAATGCTAGCACACCTTAATCAAAACTTCCCGACCCAGTCACCTACCAGCCAAATCTGGAATGAAATAAATGATGAATCCTCCGTCCATACCTTAATCATATATATCCGTTGCGCTGCCTAAATGCGGCATCATCATGCCTAGGTAAGGTACCCAGACAGACAAGAGACTTGTACAATCTTGTTGTCATTCTCTGCCGATAGAATCAATAAAATACCTAGGAGGTAGCATATCAATGTACTCTGCAGGAGTGGATCGGACTCAGGAGGTAGAGTTATTCCATGCACACCAATCACACTCGTGCTGTGAAAGCACATACATGTTCCTACCAGGTACCTTATTGTTTGTTGTTGTAGCCCGCGGCGCGACAGGCCCTCAAGGCTCAGGGTATGCTGTGACGAGGAAATAGCACAAACCTGCATTGTGCATGTAGGTACCATTCATTTTCTGATGACAATCGCGGAGAATCCAGAGATGGAGAACAATCACCATCTTCATCTCCAGCTCGTCTAATCAAGACTCTCATACCAAATGTATCTCATAGGAGTGGTTTAGGAGGTACAGGTAGGAGGTAGGTCGTGCATGAATGATGACGCGGGCATTGACGCGAACCCTGGAGCATACCAAAGTCTAGTACCTGTAGTTTGACTGTGAGCTGTATGTACAGACATCTCGCTCAACCAGCTACAGAAACACTCAGACACCTTTTACCTCTTTCTCCAAGCAAAGGCATCATCAACATGAAAGAAGTCGATCTCCTCATCCTCGGCGCAGGCTGGACCTCTTCCTTTCTCATTCCCCTACTCTCCCAAAACTCCATCTCCTTCGCAGCCACCACCCGAGATGGCCGTAAAGTCGCTCACCACTCCACTCTGAAATGGACCTTCAACCCCGACTCCTCTGACTCCTCCTCCTCCTTATCGTCAGAAAAGAGCCAATTCTCCTCTCTCCCCCCAGCAAAATCCGTCCTAATCACTTTCCCTCTAACCTCCACCTCCCAAACCTCCCTCCTCGTAACCGGCTACACCAAAGCCCACCACTCCTCCTCCTCCTCCTCCCCACCATCACAACCCCACTTCATCCAACTCGGCTCCACAGGAATCTGGCAAGGAATTCCTCAACCCTCCATCTGGACCACCCGCGCCTCGCCCTACGACACGTCGAACAAGCGCGCCCAAGCCGAAGACGAACTCCTCCGACTCGGCGGCAGCGTTCTCAATCTCGCAGGTTTGCACGGTGGCAAAGAGCGGAATCCGCGCAAATGGGTCAATCGAGTGGCTCCGCAAAAGGATGATGTACGAAATAAGAAATCTTTACATCTCGTGCATGGAGTGGATGTGGCGAGAGGCGTGCTGGCCGTGTTGGGGAAATGGGATCGTGCGAGGGGTCAGAGGTGGATGCTGACGGATGGCTTGGTCTATGATTGGTGGGAGTTGTTTGTGGGATGGGCGGATCAGGAAGAAGAGCAGAAGCAGCAGCAGCAGCAGCAGCAAGGAGAGACGAATGGGGAGGAGGAGGAGAGAGAGAAACAGCCAAGTAAACAGGCCAAATGGGTATCCGAATTAATGTGGGAGGAGAATGTATTGGCTTTGCCCAGAAGTATGGAAGTTCTCGGAAGATGTTACGACTCGAGAGATTTCTGGCATACCTTTGAGTTGGCGCCTCTCAAGGCGAGGGTGTGATGATGATGATGATGATGTTAAAGATGGATTATATATAATGAGCTTTGTACAGACAAAAGCATTCCTGCATACATGAACATGGAACTCACGACACCACTGGAACTGATTGATGATAGCAAGACAGCATCATGCTTCAAGAGAGACAACGTGAATAGTGAATAGCATTATCAAACACCTTGCTTTCGGATACTACAAATCCAACCCATCATAACTTGTGCCTTCCTTTGTCACCATACAACTCCAAGAGACACAGAGAATTCGGTCGCTCCATTATACACACACGTATATTAATCTACGACTCCTTACATCATCAAACCAGCGCCCAACAAGGTGCACATCATGACAACACCAGTGCAGAGGAAGGGTGCCATGCCGACTTCACCCATGATGAGCGAACTAGCGGCACCGGATGATGAAGCCGCGGCAGACGCAGTGGCGGTGACGCTTCCTGATCCGGGAGTAGCAGTACCAGTAGAGGCGCCACCAGCGTCTTGTGAACCAGGGCCAGAGAGACCTGGTCCTTTGCCTGCACCGCTCGTCATGTACTTCGCGGCTTCTTCTGGAATGGCTGGCAGATCCTGGCCAGTGAAGTCCTCAACTTCCCAGGTCTTGCTCTGAGATGGGCACTCTGACTTGGCAAGGTTGGACTGGTAGCCACCGTCACCAGATGGTGCAGGAGTCTTGCTGAATGCATCGGCGAGTGCGGTGAAGTCGTCGGTCTCCGAGACACTGTTGCCAGAAATCTTTACAAGACCGTACCCACTACCCTCCTCCGAGTACTCGTACACGAGACCGCCGGAGTAGACGCTGGTCATCTTGTCGCTATACAGAGCGGCGACTTCCTCAAACTTTCTCTGGTTGGTGATGCATCCGTATTCAGACAGGCTGCGACACATTAGCAAGTATTCGGCAAGTCTTCCGCAAAGTTTGCTTACAATAGTGGGATGCTGTAGTTGCCGTATTGCTCGACCTTTTGACTCCATCCAGATGTAGTGAAGGAAGATGGGTCACACCAAGAGTAGTCGTTGAATGCATAAAAGTCACTGCGCTGATCATCGGTTCCGCAATTCATGTACTGTGCCATGTCGTATCGGTTGCTTTCCACATCAGCAGCAGAATAACCAACAGGAATGGCACGGTAGCCCATGCTACCAATATATTGCTTCATGTCGCGAGTGACGGCCTTGATGTAAGGAGCGCAGTTGGTGTTGTTATCGGCATTGATAACCTCGTTTCCAGAGAAGAAAAGAAGAGTGTTGTCGTACTTGGCGAAAGCATCAATCGTGGCGAAAACTGATTGCAGGTACGTGGGGTTGTACGATGCTGCTGGCTTGTCTCGGTTGATCGAGTACTTTGGTGAGTTGACGTCCAAGGCGAGGTAGATGCCAGCATCTGCCAACGCGCTCATGCACGTGTCATGGTTTGCGGTGTTGTCAACAGTGTAAACACGAATGGTGTTGACACCCAACTTCTTGAACCTGTGATCACATGTCAGCAAGCCGCATGGGTACATAGCAACTTTGAAGAACGTACTCGGCAATATCTCTCTGGCAGGTGTCGGTGTCTGCAATTGGGTCCGTGGCTCCAGAAGAACCACCTGGCTGGTAGTCCACGCCACGAATGTAAAAGCGCTGGTCACCGGCGAAGAAGGCTGAATGGAGAGTCAGCTATTGTCTGTTGTGCAGGAGAGTCGAGTGGAATCCCACCATTGCCCTTCACGGTCACTGCTGGCAAGCTTCCAGAGCTGCTTTTTGACGCGCGAGCCACAAGCTTGTTTGGTGCACTGGCAGCGTTGGCCAGTGCGAACGAAGCCGCTGCGAGTGCAATGGCTCCCTTCATGGTGCGTGTAATGGTGGTGTGATTGGGGAGGTGGTGAGAAATATTCTTTCGAATGTCAAGAATGCGGTTCGTGTCGACGGTGGGTGGGTGGGTGTTGTTGGGAAGAGGAAACGGGAAACGAGTGGAAGAATGAGCCTCGAGAACGAGTGAGAGGCAAAAGGGAATTAGGTGAAAGGTGTAGTGGTGGGAAGGCTCTACGCTGCCAGAAAGAAGATGGCAGTCGTGATGCGACGTTGACGGTGAAGATGTAAGAACGAAGGATGGAGAACTGGCAGGAGCGAGCGTCTCCTATTCCGGGCCGCCAAGAGTCTTGCGTCGTGGCTTGTGTCATCTTCATCAAAACTCTCTTGCCCGCGACACGTGTAACAGCCAATGAGGACGGCTCCCCCAAACAAGGCGGATCATTGGCGCACCGCTAAGCACGATCGTCAACCACCCTAAAAGTCTTATCTCTCTTGGTAATTGCTTCGAGAAGACGGCATCAACGTTGTCGATACCTGTTGCTCGTGGTTCGACCGTGGTCAGCAGAGTGATGATAATACATACCCCGGTAATCGCGAGAACGGTGCACAAACATGGGGGCGGTGGTATTTCGAACAGTGACGGCGGCACTCGCGATATCATGACAGCTATACTACCTACCCCTGACGGCGATGCTCACCAGCGTTTGAGAGCGGATGATCGTGGCAGTGATTGCCACTCCACTTTCACGACCCTTTTTTTCCTCCGTATTATCTAAGCACTTCAGTTCCATTCTGCGTCAGCACGGCGACTCACTGGGCAGTAGTCTATGCCTCACCCATCTGTAGCATGCAAGTCGGTATTGCGACGGGACGTATCAAGTATGGTACAGACACGTGAAATGACTATTAATAGCAAGCGAGGACAGAAGTGTGGGTTCGTCATGTGCCATACCTAGTACATGTATACTTCATGGTGATCTTGAGAACGACCTTTGCTGCCCGTTCCCGATGATGCAAAAGAGCATGCAGTCCATGCCTCTACGTATCCATTCGTAAACTCCGCAAAACCCCTCGTGCCCAAGCCCTTCCCGTGTGCAGCTGGTAGTTCGTCGCGATGCATAACGCTCATGAGGGCCTCTTGCCCTGTAACCCTCCATTCCAAAAGTGAATCATTCATTATTCTCAAAACGTGCGCCAGTAGAATGATCATCAATCACAGCACCGTCGTGCGTTGTCCAATGCTCCTTCAGAGGATTGTCGAGGCGCTAGCTTGTCTGTGCTTAGACTTCCAGAACATGAGTTTCTTGAGCCGATGCTCCTTTTTCTTCTTCGGCGTCTGCGAAAGAATAGTTTCTGTTCCGGCTGTCGATGGCCTAGACACGTCGACTGCACTAGATTTGGCTCCAAACTGGCCTCCCATGAGCTGTGATAGGGACTGTATGCTGTTGCGTTTCCGCCGGCGGTTCTCGGCAGACTCGAGAGAGCCAGAGGTCAATGACGGAGTGCGGAATCCGCTCACGTCACGACGCGAAGAGTCCGCATGCACAGTACTGATCATGGTGGATCGCGAGCTGGTCAGGGAGGGCACATCGTCGACAGACATTCTGTGATCCTGGTGTGGTTCGCCGGTAGTGCATGAGCTCACCGTACGGTTGTCTGTCATGGAAGACGCAGAAGTCCCCACTCGCGAGGTGTCGAATGAGCTTTGGCGGCGTGCGAAGGCGGGTGAGGAAAATGCAGATGAGTGTAGAGTCTCAGGCGTGACCTCGCCATCGGGCCGGGCCAGTAGACCGGTCGGAACAGCCATGATGGTGGGTGCTTCACTGCTGTCAGAGGACTTGGTGAGCGAGTGGGCACGAATGTCGACGTTCTCCTCCTCCCACGGTCCCTGATCATCCACGACGGTTACCATATCAATGGGACTAGTTTCCTCCACAATAGTCTGATCCACGATGGAGCTGGCACGACGCTCAAGTATGGGCGTAGACAGGCGAGAGCTCGTGTGGGCGTATCTTGGTGGTTCCAGATCCCATTCTGATCGTTCAATTCCCAGCCCTTCATCCAGGCTGGTCTCGTTCGCAGCGCTGATAACGCTGGGAGCTTGATCGACGATCGAGACCCCCGTCGACCTCTCCTCGTCACCGGTAGACTGTGTACTGCCTGGGCGAATGTGTGCATCTTGAGTGTGTTCCTCCTCTTCATCGAACACTGCCAGTCCCTGCAGTGGCGGCGTCCCCACCCTGTTCATGTCGAACGCCATCAAGACGGGCGCACTGGCAGTACGGTTGTGCATCGGCTGATAATGGGCACCAGGTCCCATGAAGTCCTGAGTTCCACGATCGCTGTGGAGCATCTTTCGCGGCCTGTGCGGGCCAAACTGGGTAGGTGTCCGCGAGAAGCCCAAGGCATCGTCCAAGTCCAGCATCGCTCCGTCATCGCTGTCGCGGTTGCGGTCATTGCTCTGCTGGCTGTACAAGGGAATGTGAATGTCCAGCTGCGACTGCGGGATCACAGTAGGGTCCCGGACAATGTCTACGTCGCTGTCCATGTTGAAAACGGCATCCAGATTGGTCTCTGCGACGGATGAAGCAGGATACATTGGCTCACGAGGGGCGAACACCTCAGAGCGTGGCCTAGCTTTACGAACGATCTTGGAGACCGCCCACTCCTTGATCTTTCTCGTAGAGGATCGCCTGGTCGCGGCAGCTGCCTCTTCTTCAATATGCATATCGGTATCACCGCTCGTCTCTTGCAAGGAGAGAGCAGAGAGACGCGCGACGAGGTGTTCTGGCTCATTGGCATGTGCACCCATAGCAGGCTCACTTTTTCTGCGATCGAATCCCAGAGAGCGGCTTGCAGAGTGCTTCTTGACGGCGCGTCCGCGAGGCTTCACAGCAGATTCATCTCCTGCAAACGTAAGCGACTTTGGCAGTGCATCAGATGCGGTGGCCGGGCGATCCGCGTTGACGTTCGCCGTCCCATGCTTGAGCCACTCGCCCTCTCTTTCCACGCGCCTGCTAATTTCAATAGAGGTTTTCGGGAACGATTGCGGCTCATCCTCGATAGTGGTCTCCAGAGATATTGCGCGCGAACGAGAGGCAGGCGGACTCGGAGTAGTGAGGCTCAATACAGAAGATATGCTGTTATTGACAGAGTGGCCGCGGATAGTATTGAGCGAGCTTTCCGTCTCCGATGATATTGTCGACAGCGGCCTTGGAATGTACTCAACGTTCTCGGAAAAGCCTACCTGGCGGCGTGAAGGTGGACGTGCTGATGCAACATTCTCCAGGACGGGACCGAACGGATCGTCTGAGTCCAGGGTGCTTTGATCGACGAAGACTTGCGGCCTATCGTTCGAAAGTTCGAAAGGTGTGCTGGGAAGACTGCTGGACAAGCGTGGTTGTGGTTCAGCAGTTGCCAGCATGCTACTGAGGTCGTGGCTTGATATGGCCGCAGACCTCCGATGTCTGTGGCCACGGGGATTTGGAGGCATATCCAAGGCAGACGTTCGAGTCGGACTCGAGCTGATTGCGCTATTCATGCCCACGCCCCCTACGAGTTCGCTAACATTCCTTCTGTGTCGGGATGGAGGCGTAGCCATCGGTTCCATCGATTGAAGAGAAGATTGGTCACCCGACAGTCCGGTATGGTCGGAGGAATTGAAGCTGAAGCTGGGCAATTGTTGGGTCGCCGATCTCTTGTGGCTAGGTTCTGCTGTCAGTGGCCGAGCACCACCCATCATAGACAACGGCCGCCCATGCGCGCGCCTTGGCCCCGCGAAATCTGAGTGCTGCCCCGGTGGTGGAAGCCTGGGAAACGAAAAGTCTGGATTTGGGCGCATCTCAATCTTTGGCGCCACGGCCACCATTTCCGGCGTTGATAGCATGTTTCCCACGCTATGAGAGTATCTGTGCTGGCCAGACGCCGCAGTCTCGGACATCATCGCGGCGCTCGACAAAAAGGCTGCTTGGACGTTCACGCCCGCTAAGTCAATTGTACAATGAATGGTCACCCAGGAAGCCGAGCCCTCATCGAGCTTGCGCGGTCTGAATGCTGTCGATGGCGTGCGATAGCAATTCGAAGATGCGAGTACACTGACGAGTTTGTGATGGTAGCGGCGGCGGCGGCGGTGGTGGTGGTGGTTGCGGAGATGATTGGCTCGGCGATGTGAGGTTCGCGAGGATCGAATTGGCAAAGGGCCGATGCAAATATTATCTGGAGACAAGTCAGCACACAGGTTTGTCTCTTCCACTGAGCTCCACGCGGTAGCAGGGCGAGATGCAGGGCGAGGCATACAGATAGAAGGCTTTGCTCGCAGAGCAAAGTGCAGAGCAACAGGTACCCGACCGAGAACGAACGTATGATAAGCAGTAAAGGAGCGGACGGCAGCAATATGTGCACAGCAGGCGACAGCACACCGAGGGACGGTGGTGAGGATGCTGGCTGCTGGATATTGTGCCCGGTGGAGGATGCACTGATGGGCAGTGGTGGTGGTGGTGGGAGAAGGTGATGGTCGTGGCGGCGGCGGCGAAGGAGGAATGGCAGAGGATGGAGACGAACACGAGGCTTTCTGTTTTCGGCGAAACACTGGGCGCACAGACGGGACAGGCAGCCCCGATCCTGGATGCCTGCACCGACCAATCTCCCCGGTCCGCAGTCTGCAGTGGACGGGCTGCAGGTTCTTCGCAACGCCGTCGTTGTTGTACGGCGGCGGCGCACCACTGCAGTGGCGGGTGGTCCACTTGCACGTCGTCCACGTCCGGAGCCTACGCTACCACATGCTACTGCTGTAGTGATTGCGCGTGCTTATTGCGCATCCCACCCCCAATGCCCATCCCATGCCTCTAAATCTGGCGCTGGCACGTATTGGACTGCCACATACGAGACGCTAAGCAAGAGGCGCGATCATAAACCATGGCGGAAAGCAACAACCTTTCTTGGCTCGGGCCAGCAGGAGGTTACGACCAAAGTTCCTGCCGGCCGTGGGAGGGGCTGGAGGTGAGTGTGAGCCTGTGAGGTGCTGCACCCTATCTGGCCTCTGGCCCTCTGCCATCCGCCATCTGCCATCTGCCATCTGCCATCTGGCATCTGGCATCTGGCATCTGATGCTCTGCCTCTGTAGCCCAGCCCAGCCCAGCCCAGCTTCCATGTCGTGAGGCTGACTGCCGCTGCCGCTGACAAAATTACAAAATTGTCCGGCTTTGCGGCCACACCCACACGTTGCCCTGTGAACCTGCCCTGCGGCCTGCGGTGCTGTAAGCTGTTGCGTTGCACTCAGGTACCGTACGATTATTGCGTACGTGGATGACCACGTCCACGCTCACTACAGGTACGCTTGATGCCTTTGCCTTCCAATTCACGACTGTCCTCGCCCGGGACCGCCGCATCAGCTTCCGTCACCCGTTTCCGTTGTTGCGTCGTTTTTCCCCATGGCCCTTGGGCGCCTACGCCGCGCATGCCATTGGCCAGCCAGTGCTGCTTTATCTCCGTCGGACACTGGACACTCCTTGCGCGCAGCAGTGGGCGCAGTGGAGAAGCCCCCACCCCTCCTCGCCTCTCCTCACTGCCTGCCTACCTCCTACCTAGGTCTGTACCTAGGTAGATAGGTACATGTATATACCTTATTTGATGAACTCTACTATCGCTCTCTCTCCCCCTCTCCATGATGACTGTGTATCGTACGCATTCCTCTGCGCCTGTACCTCCTAGTCTCACCGCGCTCTATCGGCACGACTGCGAGCCTTCCCGCTCATCAAAGCTGCTTGTCGCCCGACACGTGGACGCTCTTCTGTGTTGCTGATCCTCCTTCCTCCTTGGCCACAGGACGAAACGCGCCGACAAAGGAAGGATCTACCGCAGAGGAGTGACTGCGGTAGGTACGGAGGTACCTCGCTACCTGACCTCTAGTCCTCTAGTCTCTACCTCCTCTCCTCCATTCGAACCCTGTCCGATGATCTGCGAATCTGCTGTGGCTGTACTGCAGGGGTACCGCCATGCATATGCAACGGCGCAGTTTAAACAGATGTACCTGATCATTGTATCGACCTCCTCAATGCTCCTCTACGCATCTCGAGCTCCTTGAGAAGGCCAGCATCATGAGTGATGTATATGCTTTATCGTTCGGGCCGTTTGCCGGCCGAGAAAGAGGCTGCTGGTCCCCCCCCCCCAAACCACCGTGCAGGGAGTCGTATGCACTCAGTCGAGGTCAAAACCGTCAAACGCCATACGGACACACTAGGCGATCAGGGTCTCACTATGGCGACACTGTGAGTTTGGATGCGTCCATTCATTATTAGGTTCATTCGCCGGCAACAAGTCTGCTGCAACAGTGCACGACATGAAGCCGCGAACCTCCATCTAGAGATGTACAGGTGGATGCTGAAAGATCCGAGCTGCTCTACGCATCAACGCCTGTGCTCAAGCCGCGAAACGTGTCAAGCTAGGTACATGTATATCTGGGAGAGGACAAAAAAGACGCGTAGGTATAGGTGGAGGTAGGTATGAATCAGCTCATCCATCTCCTGCAGACACCCGGCTCGGAGTGAGAATGACTCGCTCACATCCGCCGCAGCTCTCCGCAATTGAGAAGACACCGAGTTCCGGAGGCCTGGGAATTCAACGCTGAGACAGCGGTTAGAGGCCTCTGTAAGTTGCGCAAGAAAGACTCCTTCGTGGCTGCGCGACAAAACAGATGTGCAGCTCCTGTGGCTGCAGCCCAGCGTGCGGATTCCAAGTCAAGAACGACAGCTCAGTCGTACGATCCGCTCGCTCGGTTGTATTCCGTATCTCATAGCGGTCAACAAGTTACGCATGATAATGACATGGCTAACCTCTCCACGGCTCAATATCACAGTGGACGATTTGATCCAACGAAAGACTTCATCGCGCGACAGATGGTCACTCGTGACGAGACAATGGAACCTCTGACAGGGTTTTCCTTGAATCGCTGCGCTGCGTGAAATTCTCCAATGCGGGTTGTCACAACAGCAGCCATGGAGCATCCTGTGCGCCTCCTCCAACCAAGAGCCTCCCGGCCGTGTGGAGCACCGGAGAAGAATGCAGCAGGCATCACAGCAAACCAAAAGTCGCATTCGGTCGACATGAGCTACCTTGGGGTTTCCTGGTGAGTAGAAAGAGGAGAAACTCCTCGACAGAAGAAGGCGCTGCCGATGTCCCGTCTCATAGCACAGTATGGGAACCAACAGTAAGGTAGGTACCTTACGGTACCATCAAGCCATTCCATTTGGGTATTTCTACGTTACAACCCTTTCAACGTGAGAACGGCAGACAAAGCCATCACGCCACAATTAGTCTATGGCTACTTGTGCACCACATATCTGTACCCGGGCAGGTGTACTATGTGTCGCGAAACGTTCACGCCGTGCCTGTTCCGCTGAACATTGCTCGTGTTGACTATGGGTACATTGTACCTTACCTCACCTTAGGTACCTTAGGTTGTAATTGATAAACCAAGCTCGTCAACTCTGTCTGAGGAACTCCGGACACAGTAATACATAAGCTACCTTATTATTCATAGGTAGGTACCTAGGTAGTACTATATTACACGCCTCCACCTCCCGGGCATATGCTGTTGTGTACTACCTGCTAGATCAAGCATGCCGACCTATGTACTTCCTAGCACCTACATGTAGCCAGGTGGTGCACTGCACTGCACTCTATCCATAATTTCATAATATTAGTTAAATGGCCTCAACACCGAAACCCAAAGGTCCGCCTCTACATACTATATTAGGTATATGTATATTCTTCTAGAGGCTGGATAGAGCTCCTAACCTACTAGGTACATGTACCTCGAAAACCAAAATACCTACCCTCCTCCTCGTCTGGCGACTATATCGTGACGGTAGTACAGGTGCATAGGTAGGTAGCTGCTATAGATGCGATGTAATGTGTGATACGGCTGGACCGGCACAAGCCATGTCAGGTATATAACTACAGGTACGTACATGTCCGTAGGTAGACCGACAGAGATGAGTTACTTTCGGGCTCCATCAGATTCTACATACCTAGGTACTGTAGGTAGGTAGAATCAGAATTTCATAATTTCATCTCTCTTCTGGATTAGTTAATAAGATCCAATTTTTTTTTCTATTGCTTATTATTCTAATCAGTATCTTATATATCTGATATAATCGAAATTTAAGTCAGAAAGGTTGGTTGGTTGGTTGGTCAGGAAGTCGGAGTTCGTTCTGCTTGTGACAATCGAAGCCTCTTGTCACTTGTGGCTCCCGCCCAATCTTGAAGAAACTGGGCGAGGGCTTCAAAAAGTCTTTCTCCCTGCAGTGAGTACATGGCACAGACAAAAGTGTGGGAGGCAGTATAGTATGAGCAGTCATCAAGAAACATCAATTGTCGACGAGTCCGCTTTCTCAAACTCTCATCTCATTACAGTCGGGTAGGCTTGTGTGAGCCCGGGTATCTATTTTGCACAGGCGTTTATCTTCTTTCGCCTGTTCACTTGGAGGCACATGCCAACGCCCTCTCCTCCCCGTGAACGCTAAAAACATGCATGATTCCAATCGCCAGTGTGATACTTCTTACAGTCGCGTCCATAACCTACGACATGTCGAAATCTCCCACAGCATTGCGAGAATTCCTCATAATCGTCTTGATCTTGTGCTCAACCTCGTCCCAATCATTGGTGTCGAGCTTCGTCGGCTCAACACCAAAGTGCTTGCAAATGGCCATCAAGCCCTGCCAGCTCTTGCGATCGTGAACGAAGGTCAGGGCAGCTCCAGTGCGACCAAAACGACCCGTGCGCCCGATACGATGCAGATATGTCTCATAGTCAGGCTGCCCGTCGACCGTCTCCGGAATGTCGTAGTTGACCACCATGGTCACGGTGGAAACGTCAATGCCACGAGCCAAAACATTGGTTGCAATCAGGACCTTGGCCTCGCCTTCACGAAATTTCCTAAATGTGTCGTCTCGCTCGGCCCCTTCCTTTGCACCAGTCAGAGAAGCCACGTTGTGGCCCTCGGCGACCATTCTGCGCTCAATCTCAACAGCCGTGTCTCGACGCTTCACGAAAATGACCGAGGATCCGATCGTCATCAATCCGTAAAACTTGATCAGAGCTGCGTACTTCTCTTCGTCATTCTGGCAGTCCAGGTACATCTGCTTGATGCCTTTCACAGAGAGTTCTTCCACCTGCAGAGTAATCATGTTGGATTTGGGTGCGAACTGCTCCGCAAAGGCGAGAACCTCGGGCGGGAAGGTGGCCGAGAAGAGCACGATCTGAGTGGTCTTTGGCAGTTGCTGCTTGACGCGCTTGCATTGGTCGCCCATCCCTTGCATGTCCAACATGTTGTCTGCTTCATCCAGAGTGAGAATCTTGATCTGTCGCGAATCGAGAAGTCGACGCTTCAGCATATCCATGACGGTTCCCGGTGTGCCGACAACGACCTGTCCATCCACCTGTAGGTTGCGCTTGGCGGGGTCTGGCACAGCCTCGAAAACTTTCAAGCCCTTCTCCTCCAACATAGCGCCCATAAGTAATGCCACGCCAGCAATCTGCTTGGCTAGCTCACGGGTGGGAGCGAGTACCAGTGCTTGTGGCTTATTCGAACTGGGGTCGATACGCTGAAGTATGTTCAATACGAAGGCTGCAGTCTTGCCGGTACCAGACTGCGACTGTCCGATGAAGTTCGAGGCAGGCTCCTTGAGCAGGAGAGGAAGAGCGCGCTCCTGGATCTTGGAGGGCTTAACGAAGTTCATGATAGCGAGACTGCGCTCTAACTCCGGTCTCCTGTCATGTTTTTAGTACCCATATCATCCTCGCGAGCGCCGAACGCACTTACAAGTTCAGCTCATCGAACGTCTTGACCGAGTACAGTGGGTTGTTTGGATCCTCTTGTAAATCCGCCAACTTCACATTGACATCGAACTCGGGCTCATCGAGACCTTTGGCGCCATTAAGCCAGCCGGTAGCGCCATCAGTCTGCGATTTCTCCAAGCCGCTCTTCTTTGCTTCCTCACTGCCTGCCTTCTTGTCAGTTCCTGCGGTGGTCGCGGTCGAGTCGTCCTCGTCGGACCACTTAAATCCAGGACCGGCGGGCGAGAAAGCGGCGGCACCAGGATTTGGCTTCGTACCATTGCTTGGCTTATCGTCTTTGAGGTTCAGTCCGTCGAGTTTGACTGCGTCGGGCTCGGTGGTGGACGACATGGTGTCGTGTGGTAGGGGTGGGTGGACGCGTGCAAATGGCCGAGTTGTGACCAGGCGGTCGTGATGATGTCTGGGGTGAGGCGAGGCGGTAGTGGTTGCGAGTGCGTTCTCGTCGGACAATGAACGACAGGAGGTACCTGTAGGTATGTGTGGTGGATGGATGTGCTTGGCAGAACTTTGGAGCTCGAATCGTCGACAATTGAATGAGCTCACAAAGCCCGCTTCCAGAAGCAACAAGAGACAAGGAGATCGCGGCCCGACGCGCATGGATGGCGGGGCAGCCACGAGTCGGTTGGTCTTGGCACTGCGAGCGAGTACGACGTACGAGTGACTGCGCCTTGATATGCTGCTGACTCCCACTATTGTACTTTTACTGACGGAATGATTTGGTGATGACAGACCGGCTGCAAGACAAGTCACCATGACCGAAGTAGAGATCGCGCCGAGCTTTGGTGCGGAACTGAAGGATGGCTTCAAGCCCGTTAATGCGTGGGTCGCCGGCGGCATCGCCTGGCTCAGCGACATTGAGCAGTTCTACCGCGAGCGGCACGCCATTGAGAAGGAATACAGCCAAAAGTTGAATGCCCTGGCCAAGAAATACTACGAGAAGAAATCTCGCAAGACGAGCAGCCTGAGCGTGGGCGACACTCCCACCGCGACTCCGGGCTCGTTGGAGAGTGCGTCGATGACCACGTGGACCGTCCAGCTCACCACCCTCGAGAGCCGAGCTGCGGAGCACGAACGCTTTGCGAATGCCTTGGTCGGACAAGTCGCCGAACCACTGAAGCATCTGGCGGCCAAGTACGAGGACCTGCGCAAGTCCCACGCAGATTACGCGGCCAAGCTGGAGAAGGAACGAGATGGCAGCTATGGGGACTTGAAGAAGATCAAAAGCAAATATGACAGTGTCTGTCAGGAGGTCGAGAACAAGCGGAAGAAGACGGAGAGCGGTTTTGATCATGGCAAGCAGAAGGCGCAGGCGGCTTTCCAGCAACAGCAGGCCGAGATGCGAAACATGAAGAACACATACTTGATCGCAATCAATGTTACGAACAAGCAGAAGGAGCGGTACTACCATGATTATGTTCCTGATCTTCTCGATGTAAGAAGCCTTGCTCTCCCTGTCACTTCCGATTGAGTTGGAGCACGGCTTGCTAACGTGATGTACTGCAACAGTCGCTACAGTCGCTTTCTGAAGCTCGAACTTCAGCATTGAATGGAATTTGGTTGAATGCTGCTTCTCTAGAAACCCAGGCAATGAAGAACTCGACACAAGTGCTCGACCATTTGTCTGCAGAGATACCGCGAAACAACCCCCTTTTGGACAGCATGATGTTCGTGCGACACAACGCCGGTCAGTGGCAAGATCCGCCTGACTTCGGATTTGAGCCCGCGCCCGTCTGGTTAGACGACGATGTCATGGCTTCAGATCCCATGAGTAAGACTTTCTTGATGAATATCCTGTCCAAGTCGAAATCATCGTTAAGCGAGCTAAGACGAGAGTGCGATGCAAAAAGAAAGGAGGTGGAGGGCGCGAAGCGTGTCAGGCAAGCCATCCGCGAGGGCAAAGACAAGCGGGATGAGGTGGAAGTCGTGCGAGCACAATTTCATCAACAAGAACTGCTACACGAAGCGGAACGAAAGCGAGTAACGGCAGAAGTGGAGGTCAGTACGATCACATCTGCAGTTGGTGATATCTCAGTCGGAGCTCGCAACCACAGGTTCAAGAATCAGACGTACAAGATACCCACAAGCTGTGATCTATGCGGCGATCGACTATGGGGCCTCAACGCCAAAGGAATGAGCTGCGAAGACTGCGGCTACACATGTCACACCAAATGCGAGTTAAAAGTGCCTGCAGATTGTCCTGGTGAGCTCAACAAGGAACAAAAGAAGTCTGCGAAGGCTTCTCGACAAGCAGCAGCGCAAGCAGCACAGGCCGCGCCACCTCCTGCGACGAGTAATGGAGAGGGTGCGCACGACCACAATGGTCTCCAACGGAGCGATACCATCGGCTCGATGAATACGCTCAGCTCGGGCTACGCAGCGAGCGCCACTCGCAGCGTCTCAGGCATGACAATCCGATCTTCGGCAGAAGAATCGTCAATCACAGCCCCCACGAGTCACAAAGTCTCCTCTTCAACAGGTAGCGCCAGCAGACATCGTGTGATGGCACCTCCTCCCGCCGCATACATCAAACCCGGCGATGAAAATGGCTCGGGCGCGATTCAAAAAGGCAGAATGCTGTATGCCTACCAGCCCAGCGGCGGAGGGGACGGTGAGATATCCATTTCCGAGGGCGAAGAGTTCACTCTCGTCGAACCTGACGATGGATCTGGTTGGATCAAGATCAAGCCTCATGCATTCGGATCCGAACCCGGCCTTGTGCCCGCTTCTTATGCTGAGATGTTCCCCTCCTCGCATGAAGAAGAGACGACATTACGACCCACCAGTGTGGCTGCATCCCATCACAGCGCTACAGGATCTGTGACCGGAGGGAGTGATGATGGCGGTCGGAAGAAGAAACAAGGACCTGCTGTTGCGCCCAGAAGGAGAGGTGGAGGGAGTACTTCTGCTGCTGCTGCGAATAAGAAACATGTGGAAGCGCTGTATACATATCAAGCTTCGGGGCCGGGGGAGGTGGACATGGAGGAAGGGGAGAAGATGGTTCTTGTGAAAGCAGACGAGGGGGATGGGTGGTGCGAGGTCGAGAGTCGAGCTGGGAGGGGTATTGTACCTGCTACTTGGGTCAAGGAGGTCTGAGTACCTACCACTGGGAGTATCATATATGGTAGGTACGTGCAGTCATTCGATGCACTGCCAGCGACCCTCTTGCAGCTTGATTTTTGGTTTTTGATTTTTGATTTACTTGCTTGCTACAAGGTGCAAGCTGTGCATAGCGGTGGTAGCGGTGGTAACGATGATAGCGGTGTCATGTAGAATCAAAACGAGAAACGATAGATGATTTATCCTGTTCTTTTTGATTTTCTTCTTCTTCTTCTTCTTCTTCTTCTTCTTCTTCTTCTTCTTCTTCTTCTGCTCTCCCGCTCTACCTCCTGGGTACTTAAAAGTAAAAAGTACCTCCTACCAAATATCTTATTCCGATCTGATCGCTACATGTATACCTTATGTAGGAGGTACCTCGATATCAGGTAGGAGGTAGACACCTGTAAGGTAGTACCTGTACTTACCGCCGATTACTAAGTAATCATGTACCTACCTCATAGAAATCAGGCTGATTTGCGCTTCGCTCCCACTCGTCGCCAGCTCCGACTGGCTGTACCGACTTTTTGATCCCTCCAACAAGAACCTTTTCTCAAGAGGCGCGAAAGGCCCTTCCCTTTCAGCCCCAGGTTGGGTACTCCTTCCATCAGCCAATGAATGCGCACAGGGCTACTAGACTACGTATGTACCTACAGGTACCTGACCCTGTACCTTTCTACCACGAGCACTGCTGACGGCCATCATCACGAGGACCGACCACACACTACTCGGTACTAGAAGGTAAGGTATGAGCCAGCCGGCCGGTTGACCGGTCTGTGAGGTTTGCCCTGTGGATGGAAGGATTCTATCACACCGCTCTCGTGGCAAATCGGCTACCAAAATTCTTTCTTTGTAAAAGTTGGTAGACTGGGCTGGAGATGCTTTGATTCATTGGTTTGACTGGTGGAGGTCATATTGTGTGAATCAATGAATGTACCTCTGGGCTATGTATGAGTCTTCGCGGGACCAGATGGGGGAAAGGCCTTAGTCACAGGTACCTTTATTACCTCAGGTACCTTACTGTACACGTATTGCCGGGAGGTTGAAAAGAAGAAAAGATGCCCTGGTCCTGCTGCGCTTCTTTGGAAAGTTTCGGGAGCGTATGAGGTACCGGTAACCAACCAAAAAGATCGTATGTAGTGTGGGTAGGTAGGAGGTAGGTGGCGTGTGCATACACGAAAGAGTCGAAAGTTCTGTGATCAAGTCGTTAGGTTGTCACGTTGATCGTTGACGTGTGTGCTGGGTGATAGGCATGTAAGCTGAAAACACCCAATCGGAAAAGTGCAATGGACAGAATATTGCGTCTTGCGTCAGAGGTCCTGCATGGATTAACCGGAGCTAGAAGCCTTGCTGGAGCGTCACCAAGGGAAGGAGCAGCAAAGTCAGCTTTGGACTGCACTGCACTGCACTTATACGCATCATTCCGCCTGCTCGGTTTGCGAAGATGATACTAGCAATATGGCCCTACCTCCTACAGTGACATGCTTTGGCGTGATGAATACGTAATTGTACGACAGTGAGAGCTTGCTCTCGAAAGTGGTATGGGAGGGTGTGGTACCGCAGGCGGGTATTGGTAGCTGTCAGAGAAAAAAGCCACTTTTTCTCGCAGCAGCTAGAGAATACAGGACCTGCGTATATGGCGTGGCCGCTGTCTGCAGCCTGCACCATCGGAACTGGGTAGAGGGCGGCCATGTTTGTGTGTAGGTACCTCCTAGCTACAGTAGACTACTACAGTAGTACTGTATGACTGTGAGATGGAGGAAGCCTGATACCTCTGACCATCTAGAACACTAAGACCTGGGAGGTTGGGCAGGCGACTCGCCGCGCTCTCTATTATTATTATTGTGTAGATTCACGCACCCTGGCCATGCCATGCCATGCACCAGACAACTGAAACACTGAAACACCGAGCAACAGTCTCACATCGTCCTCCGAAGAGGGCTTCTGCGGCTCTTTCGCATCCCTTCCATGGCTCTCTGGCGGGCGGGCATTGTTGCATTTGGCGGAGGCACGGGTCTCCTCTTCGGAGAGTTAATCGAGCCCAAGAGGAGGTGGTGGTGGTAGTGGTGGTAGTGGTGGGTGGTGGGTGTTGGCATCAGTGCACAGTGCGCGAGCCGGACAGGTCGAGCACGCAGCGCACGCACCAGCAGATGGCAGATGGGAGCGCTAGAGGGAAAGGGAACGAGGGAAGCGAGGGCGGGTTCGGTGATTGGTGCTGTCTGCAGGCGTGGGCGGGCCTTGGGGGCTAGAATCGCTAGATTTCCCACGCTGCCATGCCCCCTCGGCCAATCACGAGCCCGCAAGCGCTGTCTCTCCTTTGTCTTTTGCAGTGCCTTGGCCTTTCCTCTCTCTCTCGCCGCCGACTCTACCTGACTCTCTCTGTACTTCCCTTCCCGCCTCTCTCCATCGCTCTCTTTCTCTCACACACACTTCCCCATCTCAGGCTCACTGCTACTTACTCCTCCTCCTCCTCATCGTCCTCCTTCTCATCATCACTCCTTCCTTGACCGCTTCGTTGTCTACCTTACTGCGCAGCACTTGCATCTTTCGCTCGCATCTACCGTTATTGCTTTCGACCTCGCCGGCCGCAGACGACAATCCAGCAGAGCGCCTTCGTCGCTGTTCGCCCCTAATCTCCATCCATCCAGTCCGTCGCCGCACCCACCCACGCACGCACGCACGCGCCTTCGCACCGCACCGCACGTACACACCCATTTCGACCTGGTGACGATCACGCCTGCCACTGGTCACCACCTACACAGGTCGTCCCACCCTCGGTATACCACTCGACGACGCGAGCGTCTGCCTTTCTGCGCTGCTTCATCAACCACACTTGCATCCCGACCCGACGACCAATCGACGTCAGGACGACAAGACAACAAAGAACCTCTCGGACTCACTTCATCTTTCGGCGGCAATCTACGACAAAGACTCTGCATTGTCGCGGCAGCTGGCACTGGCATCTCGAAAGAACGCTATTTCTTTGTAATCTCATAATTTGTACCTCACAACGACCCCGTGGCCTTTGATACAGAGCGACCTAATCTTGGGACTTCGACGGCACGACGGCAAACCTTCCAGCAATTGTCTAATCATCTGTCATCAAAAGCGCTTCTGCTCGGTTCGCTGCAACTTTCATCACCGACGACCCACAGCTCTACCATCCACACCTACCCACACCCACACCTACCCACCCACGCACACTCACACACCAACGGCCTTTAACGACTTTCGACTTTCTACGCACGTACGCACTACAGGACTTTTCCCATCTGCACAATGAGCATTGGCACAGGCGGCATTGCTCAAATGACTTACAATAACAACAACAACAACGGCTTCCCTGCCAGCGGTCTTGGCCTTCCCGGTTCCGGCTTCAGTGGTGCTCGGGGCCAGCGCCAGAACACCAAGCGGTTGAGCGTAGCACTCCCGCCCAGGGTTGCCCCCATCAGTGAGAACTCGATCGATAGTCCAACTCCACGCACCAGCCGCTCTCACCTGCTCGCAGGTCTTCGCACTCAGCCCAAGACCCATGCCGTCCCAGCTTCCGCTCCTTACCATCAGACTCAGCATTCCATGTCGGGCGCCAACTCTGCTCAGTGGGCAGACCAGAGCTACAATGGATATGGCCAGCAAATGCCAGCGACTGCTTCTGCAACCGGCTTTGACGCGTCGTCTCAGTACGCCAAGACTGCTGGTCGTCAGATGTATTCTCTCCCGGAGCAAGTCTTGGCTCCGCCCACCATGTACGAGCAGGAAGATGTCGACCCTGACGTCCTCCAACAGATGCAGATGCACAGTCTGTATCTGGCTCAGCGCCAGCAGCAGTTGCAGCAGCAACTTGCCAACATCACGGCTGCCACTCAGGGCATGTCCTTGAACGGCATGGGTTCTTTCCACCAGGCTCACATGACTCCTCAGCAGCAGCAGCAGCAAGCCTACTACGCTCAGCAACAGCAACAACAGCAGCAGCTTCAGCAGCTTCAGCAACAGATGCAGCAGCAGCAACAGATGCAGTCTCCCATCGAGGTACCAGGTCAACCTGGCGTCTACCTCGTCTACAACCCAGCCATTCAAGGCTACTCATACGTGGTCGACCAGTCTGTACAACAGCAAGCTCAAACACAAGCTCAGCAAGCTCAACAGGTGTCTCCCATTCAGCAGGCCCAGAACAACCACCAGCTCTCTCACGCACGGTACGAGTCGCCCATGCAAGGCTTCCATGCCACCCCACCGGCCACCGAGCGTTCGTCGCCCGCCAATGGTCGGTCCTTCACGCCTCCCAAGAAGGCACCGTCGCCACCCTCGATCCTGGACCATGTCGAGCCCCTACCACCGCCGTCTGCGACAGCTTTCCGACGCGGTCATAAGAAGGCTTCTTCTTTGGCAATTTCTGCATCTGGCAACGTGAATGAAGGTCCCAAGACTGCCAGTGCCGCAACTTTCGGCTCTCAGCGCAGTGCTTACCCACCAACGCCGATGACTGGCACATTTGGTCCTGGTGCTGCACGCGCGGGCGAGCACCCCATTCGACAGCCACGCGGCCCACCTGCCATTGAAGAGTTGGCTGCTGCTCCCACCAGCAAGCACGAAGGAAGCAAGAACTTTGCAACCCGTCAGCGTCGTCGCGCTCTTGACAGCCTGATGAAGGCGGGACACGAGCGTCGTGCGGTGTCACGATCATCTGGAGGAAGCCCAGTCAGCGAGTCTGACTTTGACTTTGACCAGACCGACGATGGCTCTCGTGGTAGCCGAAAGATGTCTCCGATCGGCTCTGAGATGCAACAGAAACGTGGTAGCCAGCACTCGTCAGACGGCTACTTTGGCTTGAGTTCCGCTTCGAGCAGCGAGGGTGAAGATGCCGGCGCGTTCAAGCAACCCCCCACTCCGGCCACGCCAGTCGATGGCGGCAATCGTAAGAAGATGATGTTTGGTGTTCTCAACGCTGCGGAGAAGCGCAAGAGCCACTTTGTTTGAGTACGGAATGATGGTCGGTGCTGCTACCGACTATTGGATGCGACGGAGTTTATGCTTACGACTGTTGGATTGGCTATGTAGAGGGACATTTGGAGAGGATGAACGATCGAATTTCCGGTGCAGATCTCCAGCACGCTTCGCTGTGCGCTTGCGTGGCTGAGAGACTGCCTTGTGCATATCAACCAAACATTACTGGGTGAGCATATGAGTATGCTCCTAACGACCGATTACGATACTCGAGATCATCCACACACACACATATACACACGCACACACAAACACACACGCACACACACCCACACACTCGTTTTGCAAGGGGATGGAACGGATGGCGCTTTTGCTTCGATGCTTGCTTGTCTCCCTGCGTCCTTGCCTGTGAAAGGTTTTTAGATGGCGCCACGGGTGGCTTGCAACAACTAGTTGTTCGATTCTTTCGACATCATGCCACGTGAAGAGCAGGCAGGTGGCGATGGGGATATGGGAAGGATATAGCTACTGGACAGTAGCTGAGCTTTAGCATAACAGCAAAATGGAATGAAATACCTGTATTTTTGGTGTGAATCTCTCTCTCTCTCTCTCTCTCTCTCT